AAAGATTTACAAAGCTAAATAAAGGACGAATATTTGTTGTCGTAATATGCTCTCCGTGTTATATTTCCTCCAACATTAAAATGAATTAAGCTTATCTATAAAAATATATAAAGTTTTGAGAGAAAGTCTTCGATTTGTCGATTCGTTGAGAAAAATGCTTGTCAAAAATAATAATAATATACGATTGTTTGCTAAAAAAACACACCTGAATTCTTGAAAAACGATTTTTGATCCAACTTTGACTACATGAAAGTTTTTTAAAATTGTTTTTGGTCTATGACTCGTCCTAGAGCGATTTTTTCTGTGCATTTGAGAGCCGCATTTGTGAGTAGTTTTGCTTTGACATCAAGCGGGATTCCTGTGTTGTRTACACGGACGGAAAGACGGATGGACTGACGGACGGACGGACGGAAGTGACGTCAGCCAAGCCATGAAAAATCAACTCGATGGTTTACCATTTTTTCTTAGTATGGTGCTCCGCTCGCGCGGGCCTTTGGTCCGCGCGGGAGCTCTGCTATTACGTAGAAATTTATTTAGCCGTAGTAAATATGTGAAAGAGCAAGCTTATAATTCATTAGTAAGATCAAGTGTTGAATATGCTTCACCTTGTTGGTCACCATTTGAAAAACAGCGATATTAACTTCTTGGAGTTCATTAATCGGTYTGCTGCTAGATTTGTATTTTCTGATTACTCTTACTATTCAAGTGTAACAGCAATGACACACTCCCTGGGTTGGGTCAGCCTTGAATAACGGAGAAACTCTTTATCAATAATCAATAATGTACAAGTCAGTAAATAACTTAATTAATCTATCTCTTCCAAGCTCTGTGCAATTTTCACATTCCAAAACTAGGGCAAATCATTCTTTCAAATTTAGACATATTTATGCACATTCAAACACCTATAAGTTTTCTTTTTTCCTAGAATATTACGTTTATGGAACAGTCTACCAGCGGAGACTGTACTTGCTAAATCATTGAAATCTTTGCAGTTAAATGTTAAGAGTCATTTATTATTTATTCTTTTTTTTCATATAAATTGTTAATGTTAGCATTTAATATAAATAATAATATGTATTACATAGCCATAGCTATTAATCAACTTAATTTAGTTATTCCCTCTATCTTGTATTAGCTGACTTTTAGCATCCTGTACAGTGAAATCACTAATAGGATTAATAAATATGTAATGTATGTATGGAGTGTTAACAACGGGAAAAACCTTCAAAATCTTGCATCATCCTTGAAAGAAGCTGGTAGGATAGTGGATCAGCTTTCAGGAAACCAGCCAAATACCATATCTGTACATACATAACTCATTGTCAAATTCAGGCGTGTTAGAAGCTGACATGTCAATGGTCAGTAGAACTGTTATAGAGCATGATAACAAACAGGTATCCCAGGCTTACGGGTATGAATGCAGGACTGAATGGTTGAATGCGGGACTGAATGATTGAATAAGGGGTGGAATGTGGGACTGAATGGTTAAATAATGGGTTGAATGGTTGATTAAGGGGTTGAATGGTTGAATAAGGGGGGTTGAATAAGGGGTTGAATGGTTGAATAAGGGGGGTTGAATAAGGGGTTGAATGGTTGATTAAGGGGTTGAATGGTTGAATAAGGGGGGTTGAATAAGGGGTTGAATGGTTGATTAAGGGGTTGAATGGTTGATTAAGGGGTTGAATGGTTGAATAAGGGGTTGAATGGTTGATTAAGGGGTNGGGTTGAATGGTTGATTAAGGGGTTGAATGGTTGAATAAGGGGTTGAATGGTTGATTAAGGGGTTGAATGGTTGATTAAGGGGTTGAATGGTTGATCAAGGGGTTGAATGGTTTTTCTTTTTATTAGTCATTAAATGTCTTTTAATTATCAATTTTGTTTTTAATTAATAATTTGCAATTATGTACATTGTCTAACAGATCAAATGGGAGGTAGATTGCCATCACCACCTGGACGCAGACAGCCGTTCCAGTCGGCATCCGTATTTAGAGACTTCAGACAAGGGAGTCGATATGGTAAGATCATTATTTCATGTCATTGTAAATCTCTACTTTGTAACCATTTTTTACTTTTGCGAATTCTTTGGGGGAAAAATTGGTAAGAACCTTTTGCCCCATTTTCTCTGGTTTTATACAAAGCAACAACAACAACTAACGAACAAAAACAATATCCAAAAAAATCTGTGCACATAATGGATGAACACTAATGCACTTATTATAGAAAATGTGATTGCCTTACATTTTGAATATTTGCTTTTGTAGCGAATAAGTTTGTAAGAACTATTAAAATGAAAAATCAGAAGAAGCCTTTAGGTATTGGGCATTGTTTTGTTCCATCTTGACCTGCACATTTCAACAGACAAAGTGACACATTCAGGGTAGGTCTCATGTATGGGTATGGCCGAAAATTTAAATTCTCTGAGTTAAGTGCAGGTCATGACAATGTACCTCCCAAGATTCTTCATATGATGAGTGAGGCTTTAACGCCATCATTAACAAAAATCTACAACGGCTGTATCGCAGAGGGCTATTGGCCTGCAGAATGGAAAAAGGGCATCTGGGTGCCGGTGTACAAGAAAGATAATCAAAGAGATGTGGTAAACTATAGACCTGTAACAGTTCCCAGTGCTGTGGGCAAAGTATTTGAGCAATTGCTCAGTAGACAAGTGACTGGCTTCATGGAGCCCCGCCTAAACAATAACTTAACTGCTTATCGCAAAAGGAACAGCTGCGAAACCACACTGGTCAAGTTAGTGAAGGATTGGAAAACGGCGCTGGATGGAAAAAACTTTTTTGGAGTTCTATCAACAGACCTATCAAAGGCATTTGACTCTCTTCATAACCCGTTACTGTTAGCGAAGCTTGAGGCTTACCTCTTTGCTGATAGCGCAAGAGAACTATTAAGGTCGTATTTCAAGGAAAGAAAAAATAGAGTCAGGATGGGTGCAGATATTCTGAGTGAATGGCAAGACGTTAAAAGGGGATGTCCTCAGGGATCAAATCTGGGACCCCTATTATGGAACATATTTCAAAATGATCTAGTCCATAATATAGACAAGTYCAGCCTTATCATGTACGCTGATGACCACCAAGTGTAATCGTGTGGCAAAGAGATCAAGAAAGTTGAGGAAGCCCTAAACGATGAAGGAAGGCATATCGSTGACTGGTATAAAGACAACTTACTCAAATGTAACCAGGATAAATTTCAGTCCATGTGCTTGGGACCAAAGCACAAGAATAAGGAGATGAACATAAACATGATGAATCAGGAAATCAAATGTAAAACTGAAATTAAATTATCAGGGGTTTCTATTGATGAACATTCAAACTTTAACTATCACATAAGGGATATCTGTAGCAAGGTTGCGAAGAAAGTGGGGGTGCTTATGAGGCTCAGAAATATGTTGCCAACAATAGCTAAGTTAAGGATTTATAAATCATTTATTGTTTCAAGCAACTAAGCGTCTTCTTTTCAAGGAACAACGACTGTCCTTACCTGATTACAAGGATAATAACCAACTTGCTAACGATCTTGGAGAGTTCTTCATACAGAAGATCGCGAAAATTCGTTATGAACTTGATGTTTGTCCTATGACTCACCAAGGGCCTTGCCTAGATGTCACTGACTCTCAAGTTAGAGAATTCACTCACTTTGAACTGTTATCAGAAGAGGATGTTCTTAGCCTGCTTTCTTCATTGCCAAAGAAGTCATGTACGCTGGACGCTGTATTCCTACTATTTTACCAGTAATAACCACTATGATAAACATCTCTCTTCAGCAGAACTGCTTCCCAGATGTATGGAAAGAAGCAATTGTACAGCCAAGACTGAAGAAAGTAGAGCTTGATACTTCTTTTGCTAACCTTCGTCCTGTCAGCAACCTTGTCTACGTATCGAAACTTACTGAAAAGGCAGTATTTCAACAACTTCATAAGCACATGACCTGTAATAATCTTTATCCAACATTGCAGTCAGCATATCGCAAAGATCACAGCACGGAGACCTCATTGCTGAAAGTGTTTAATGACATCCTGCTTGATATGAACAAACAGAATGTAACATTGCTAGTATTCCTTGACCTGAGTGCTGCGTTCGATACTATCGACCACGATATTCTTATAGCTCACCTCAAATCTAACCTGGGCATTTCAGAACCTGCTCTATTGTGGTTCAATGAGTACCTCTCTGACCGAAGCCAACGTGTCTCTATCAACGGATGTGTATCTAAAAAGTTCAGCATCACAAGCGGTGTGCCTCAAGGAAGCTGTTTAGGGCCTCTTCTCTTTATCATCTACGCCAGTGACCTGTTCAAGATTCTAAACAAACACTCGGTAAAAGCTCATGCTTATGCGGATGATAGCCAACTTTACCTCTCGTTCAAGCCAGGACACATGGACAGCCAAAATGAAGCTACGGATACTATAACGAACTGCATCAGAGATATTCAAGGATGGATGACATGCAGCAAATTGAAAATGAATGATGGGAAGACAGAGTTCATGATCATTGGCACGCGACAGCAACTGTCCAAGCAATCAATTG